GCTTAACATATAAAATCGTAAACTTGATGTTGATTTTTTTGGAATTTTTTTTGTAAAAGCACGTTTACACTTGGTGAGCACACACAGAGCTGAAGAAAAATTTAAGTGTCTCTTTATTGGACTTATGAGTTTTATCTTCCTAAAGAAAAATATTCTACTCCTCACAATCATACCTTATTAATGTCGTTAGTTTTCAGCAGTACCTACAGTATATTTGTGAGCAACTATTTAAGGATGAAATACACGAAGGGCAAAATTAGACCAAAATATCTGATGAGCACCTTGAGAATGGCTCCTACATCCATCGAACCAAATATCGATGCATTAGTTTATCAAAAACAGTGTCAAATATTGCACTATTTTTTATATTGCCCTTTTTTACCTTTATAATAAAAAAAAATTACAAAAAAATTAAGTTTTATAGCTCAGAGAGCTACATTAATCATCGTTAACTTATGATCTGCCTGACTTTTTTGCTCATCAGTGATCCTTATTTTTAATATATTTTGTGTGGCCCAAGACAAGTCCCTCTTTTAATGTGGCCCAGAAAGTCAAAATGTTTGACACCCCTGAGTTACACAGCCAAAGGTTTTCATTGTGCACCATTACAATGACCTCAGTTGATAAGAAGGTTGAGTACCTGCACAGTATCCTTGTTTGCCCCTCTCCATCAGCACTGAGGTCACATTAGCCGAGTGAGAAAACTGAGGGAGAAGAGAAACACTGCAATACTAGTCAGTACCAGTTTGCAAAGGTGTATTTGCTTTGGAAGAATAAAATCTAATGTTGTTTGTCCTATGTGTGTAGATATTGCTTTTGTTAGTTTTTTACATTTTAGAATGGGGTGCTTCAAAATTGCAAAATTTTAAAAACTGTGTGCCTTAGCTGAAAAAAAAAAAAAAAAAGGTTGTTAAATGCTGATTTAGCATACCTAAATTTGTCCCATTGCTGATTTAGCATACCTACATTTGTCCCAATATCAGCCTCCTGCAATCCCCTTTACTGAAGCACTCACATTTGGGCTTGTGCTTTCAGGAAAACTGCTGCCCAAAATGGCCAGCAGAGTAAGCACAGGGATATTCTTTGCAATGCTGTCAGAGTGGTGATTGAAAATCTAGCTGATGGAGTATCACGCACATCTGCTAATTGACTGCGCCAGTGCTATTGATGGGAAGCAATCATTTTTATCAATTCACAGTCATTTTTAACACTGGCAAGTGTGAAGTGTTTGATCAGATGGAGATTTAAAGCAATCACTTGTTATCATACTTTACGTCTTTGTCAGACTTACTAATTGGCCTCAAAGCTCTATTTTCGGAAGTAGTTCATGGGAAGCAGAGCATACATTTTTACTCATTGACAAATCTCTTCTTCGGTATCTCCCCCTGTAAAATCCTCCTGCGGCTGGGCAGACTGGAGAACTGCAAATACTGTAGGAAAAGGTAAATCTTTGAAAGGTAAGTAAACTGCACAGACACCTTTTTGTATCACAAGCAATACTCCCGCAGCATTTAACAATTTACAGGTCAACTGTAACCGACAATGAAGTGAAACTATAACTATTAAAGGTCACTTATTTTATTAAGTTTATAGGCTTTTAGACAGACACTGAGCTTCACATTCAGCAGTGAAACACCCAATGCTTTAGGCCTGACAAAGAAAGGTAGAATATCAAGCGTAAATTTGAGCGAAACGAACAATCGTTCAATTTTCCAATAGTTAGTGTGTTCAATTCAACTGTCAATATCAAATTCTTTATGGGAAAAAAAACTAATGTCATGTTTGAACAAACGATTTTCTAAGCGGGATTAGTGAAATTGAAAAAAAAAAAAAAAACCCACAAACATTAAAAAGCATTAATGCCCATGAGCCTTTTAAGACATTAACCCGGATCAAAAAAAAAAAAAAAAAAAAAAATACAATAATTCTGAAAACAAAAAATATGTAGATGATAGGTGGAACATTTCTGAAACACTGATGGGAGAATTGAATGCACTACTGAACAATCCATTCTATTTTTTAATAATATTTTGTTCCATTTTCTAACCATCTTCTTTTTTAACCAATTTTTTGTTCAATTTTCTAACCATCTTTGGCCAGCTGTTATAGAAGTAGCATGTGACTACCTCCCATGATGCAGTGCTGGGGCCTAGCAGTCAATGGCCAGGCCTATGTCATCAATCATGTCTTATCTTTCACACCAGCTAGGCCACGTGCCAAACACAAGGCCCTTGGGCCGAACCCAGCCTGCCAGGCCATTTCATATGGCCCTCACACCTCTCCTGCAGCTGCAGTACCCTCGTCTCTGCCTCCACCTTGTCTCAGTAGTCGGAAGCAGACATGAGAACAGAACTCCTAGAGATCCTGCACTTCTCTGTGCAGCCATGGAGAGGCTTACCTCTGCCCCATCTCAGCAGTTGGCAGCAGAAAAGAGGACAGAACTCCTACTACAAATCCTGCACCTCTCTGTGTAGCAGTAGCACTCCATCACTGCCTCTCCTGGTCTCAGCATACTCCTGATAGTTTGGGGGGGTTATTCTGGACATCTAATCTTGCAGAAACAAATGACCCTTTGAGGACCACCGTAATGCTGATCCATCCCACAATGAAATTGAGTTTGACAACCCTGATCTAGACCTAATGGTCTGGTGTGAGTTTTAGCCTTGAATGGGCAGAGTGATAGCGCTTCTTTAATTTAAGGTTTTATATTTGTTTAATGCAAATAAAATATTTTTAGTAGCACAAGAATTAAAAAACATCATTAGCTTTCTAAAGAGAACACACTAGAAGTTTGCCTTTAACCAGTCAGTAACAGCATGTGATACCCCTTCATTATCAGGCCATTTTTTTAGCATTGCGATGCTTTGACTGACAGTCCGTTTCAATTTACGCATCACTACAAAAAAAAAAAAAAAAAAAAAAAACACATAACATACAACGTGTTACAATATATGTAACTTAATGAAAAAGGACTATAACAAAGAAAAAAATGGTTTAAACACTTTAAAAAAGTTCACCTTTTCAAAAAAAAAAAAAAAAAAAAAAAAAAAAAGTGCATTTACTATTTTTATTCTTAGGAACCTGGAAAGAATAGCACCTTGTAAATCAGCAGATCAAAGGGGAAATGTCCAGCTCCTGCAGTCTGTCAGTGTAGCTCTTTGCCCCTATCTCCGAAATGGGCAGTTACTTCAGTCCTGGGAGAAGCAAAGGTTGATGGTACTTGTGGGCATTCATTCACAGAACAGCTGCACTCCTTTCAAATTGTAACAGCAGGTTACACTCCCAGCATACCAGTTAACTCTTTGAAATTCCCTCATCTTAACCCCTTCCTGCCCAGTGCCATTAGTACGTCAGTGCTTTTTTTTTTTTTTTTTTTAGCACTGATCACTGTATTGGTGTCACTGGGGATGTCAGTCACACCAAGACCCCCCCAGTGTCAGTATGCCCATCGCAGTCCCGCTATAAGTCGCTGATCGCCACATTACTAGTGTAAAAAAAAAAAAATTCCAGTATATATACTGCCATTTGGAAGCACTAACTTTCACATAAACCAATTTATATGTATTGGGATTTTTTTTTTTTTTTTTTTTAGCAAAGACATGTAGCAGAACACATTTTGGCCTAAATTTATGACGAAATTTGATTTTTTAAATTTTTTTTACTGGATATGTTTAATAGCAAAAAGTCAAAAATATTGATTTTTTTTCATAAAATTTTTTTTTTTTTTTTTTTTATAGAGCAAAAAATAAAAACCTGCACAGGCGACCAAATACCACCGAAAGAAAGCTCAATGTATGGGAAAAAAAGGAAGTAAATTTCATGTGGGTGCAGCATTGCATGACCGCGCAATTGTCAGTTAAAGTAATGCAGCGCTGTAATGTAAAAAATGGCCTGGTCAGGAAGGGGGGTAAATCCTCAGGAGGGCAAGTGCATAATCTTCAGAAAAAAAAAGTCACACAAAACAGATCCAGGTAGAGGAAAAACATTAGCTTTTTTATTTCATCATTTTAGTAACTGTACAATTTTAACCAAATCTTACAAGTAACAGAACATATTAAACATAAATGAAGACTACAATCCAGTACCCTATTTACAATACAATTTTACCATCCAATTTTAAGAGAACTAAATGGAGTACACATAATCGTTAGAACATTGTATTTGTACTGGGCAGACAAAAATAAACCCCATAAAAGCAGAATTAACGGATACTAGAGTGTTCTGTGTTCCATGAAGAAAAAAAAAAATTACATCTCGAATCACTTTGAATAATAAAGCTCACAGGATTCAAACATGATTTTAAGGAGTTGCTTTTAAAATAAAACAAGTCTGTCCCCCAAAGATCTAATGAAAAACAATGGTGGAAGCAAACAGTATATGTTCACTATTTTCCTATGTAAGAAGCAGAACAATTAGTGGCTGATTGTTATACATTAAGAAGCGGAATGTACACTTTACTTATAGAGAAAGTGAAATTCAATGAATACTGTGAAGAAGCAGAAACCATTTTATACCTTTACCTTTTATTAAAAATCATTTACTTAGAACAAAATGATTAAAAGGTTCCATTATGGGTTAATAATTACCATTTTACTAAGCAGACGGATCTGCAATTCATCACAGATAGAGGTTATTTTAGTTATTTCCAAGGTCTGACATTGGGCAACAGTACTTTATTTTTTTTGCCTTTAAATTCAATTTCAATATTAAGAGTGTATTTACTACACAAAACTGTTTAACTGCTCTTAGAAATTAATGCATGCATGTTAAAAACCAGATTCAGCACTTAAAGAACTCAGTATTAGGAGTGAGACCACACTGCAAGTCTCTGTAAGTTTAAAGACTCACTGGGCCATGTTAATGTCATTAATACCAAGGGGACTTGCAGCACACTGCGCTGGAGGGTCGGCACTGAGGCTGAAAAAGGGTTAAACACTCAATTGTTATTTAACAATTAGGAAGCAAGAGAATATCAATACAGTTTAAAAGAACATGAAGGCTTAGTTACTACAGCATTGACTTTTGCTAGGCTGTGCAGTTTCAGTAAGGTCTACTCCTCTTCCTCTAGCCGTGTTGCCTCCGCTTGTCTGTGGTTCTGTTTTGGGAAGCTTTTTAGCTGTAGTAATAAAGAAACAATTAGGATGAGACATATAAAACTTTTATGAAACACTTAAGGACCAGGCAAGGAAAGGAAATACGTGTTGGGCCCCATTCACACCTTTTTATTTCAGGAACACAGGAAAAAAACAAAAAAAACAAAAAACACACTCCAAACTGCACATTGCAGTGCCAATAATTCCTAATGATACACCAAACGTAGCAGTTGTGCCTTTATTGCACCAAAACATGCATTTCAAAAAGTGAGAATCACTGCTAAAAAAAAAAAAAAAAAAAAAAATAAGGTGCACTTGTTTGTCACGAGCAGGGCAGCCCATTCAAACAACAAATGCAAAAGAAAAGGTATGACTGTAGCCTTAAAATTAAAAAAAAAAAAAAAAAAAAAAAAGCAATAAAACAACCTTCATCTGGCACCTGTAGTTAGACACTAGGGGGTTATTTACTAAACCTAGGGCATGCTAAATCTGGTGAGAGCTCTGCATAGAAACCAATCAGCTTCCAGGTTTTATTTTTATCAAGGCTTAATTGAACAAGCTGAAGTTAGAAGCCGTTTGGCTACCATGCATAGTTGCACCAGATTTTGCCCTCTCCAGTTTTAGTAAAATCAACCCCCAGATTCACTCAGATCACATTGTGCAAATGCCATTATAATCTAGAGAAGCCCAAATTAACTTGAAAGATCACCTCCCAAAACACCTTGACTATCATGAAATGAGTGAATAAAATACAAATGGATTTTTTCAGCCAAAGATTGTTCCCATGAGACAAGTTCACAGCCAGTGGGGTGGGACAAAATGGCGTGGGGCAAAATTATGTACATAGGAAGCAGGGAAAAAAAAAACCCACAACAATCCAGCAAGCAACTTAGTAATTGTTTAAACCTTTACTATTGTATTGCCCAGTATATGCAAGGATTACAACCTTCCTTTAATGTTTTTCAGAGATCTAGAGCTCAGTCAGTTTCTGCAAATGGGACCGGAAGGGGAAAACCCTCCAACAAGCAAATATACAGTGATCATATGATCCGTATCATGGAATTTACATATGGATCTTATCCTAATCTGGCAAGACTAGACTTTTGGACTGTTCTCTAAAGGACAAAGTAAATCACTAAATTACATATTTAAATTCAGCACAATGATCAGAGTGCAGTATACCATAGCAAATAGTGTGGGCGGTCATTTCTGGATGAAATATTGCTGTTTACGATCGGCTATTGCTCTTCATACTGACTAAAATTAATTTCTTGTATGCCTTCAAAGCCATCCCCAATCTGATTATCAAGCATCCTGGTAGTCAGAAGAGTATTCAAGGCTAAAACAGAGTTGGAATTAATTTTTTTTTGGGGAGCAAACTCCGCACAGAACATTGAAACTGTGCAGAGACACTCTGGTGGTCAACATGTATAAGATTTTTAAGTCAAGAAAATATCTTTTTCTGGACTTAAAAATCTTATACATGTCGCCCACCAGTGTCTTTTCACGGTTTGTATTTATTTTTAATTAACGCCATTTAGCGCTAAATACGGACTACCAGGATGCTTGATAATTAGATGGGCAGGCACTAGAAAGTTTTTATGCATTTAAGTTATGTTAAAACTCAAAGTGTATCACCTGTAATTAAAGTGGCTATAAGAACTAGACATGAAAAATGAACAAAGCACATCTCTGTACAGCGTGTACTCGCCTGAATCCAAAGCACCTGGTGTGAATCCTCTCTCTTTGCACGAGTCACTGAAAAGACTCTAAGCTGACAACAGCCTCAAGGGAGATGACTGCTTCACCTCCAGCACACAGCAGGTGACTCCTAGTCTCAGCTCTGCTTGTTTTTCTATGAGCCTGTTAGAAGAAGATGTGTCCTTTCATCAGATCCCCACCCTTGCTTTCTAGAGCTGAGTGATGGAGTGTAAAATGTGTGTTCAGAAGGATGAAGAGGCAAGAGGGTTACAGATAAATGAGTACAACTTGTGTAGGAGGATTCCTTTAATTTCCTAAGGCTAGTCACTTCACTGGGTATATGTAGGGGTTTACAACCATTTTCTATATTAAATTGTCATACAACTGGAGTATACAAGTACATTTTTGAAATCCATATTGCCTCTCCTGTATGGCAGATGCACTTACCTATTGCCATAAATATTTCATTCACGTTTGCTGATGTCTTGGCAGAAGTCTCCATAAACAACAAGCTGTTGTCATCTGCATAGGCTTGAGCTTCCTGTAAAACAATTCAATACTTGTTCACTGAACATTCATTAGAACGATAGAGATGTAGTCTCATTTTAGGCTAGGTTCACATAGATTTTCCTGACTCTTTCAGTGTGATTTCAAGGGGTTGTTGTTCAGCAATTCAGGTGCGTTCTGGCAGCGTTCTCAGTCATCTAAATTAGAAACTAAAAAAACTCTCGCTCAGATGACCTGTGATATGCTTAAAAAATCCCAACAAAAACCAAAAAAAAAACCAAACAACTGATGCTGCTGCTCAAGTTTAAATCACTATAGATCTGAACTTTGTCATAACACCGCACATACAGTTGTGTTCAAAATAATAGCAGTATGTTTACAAAAGTGAATAAAGCTCAAAATCCTTCCAATAGCTTTTATTTCCATACACACAAATGCATTGGGAACACTACACATTCTATTCCAAATCAAAACATGAAGAAAAATATATCAAATTTGTGTTGTTCCTCTAAAAAAAAAAAAGTGAATAAAAGTGAATAGCAGACTGTTCAAAAATATAGCAGTGTTTGTATTCTTCTTTACAAACTCAAACATTCACTATATAAACTGAAAAATGTTTGAAGATTTTGCTTTCCTTTGAATCACTTAATGAATATTTAGTTGTATAAGCACTGTTTCTGAGAACTGCTGTACATCTGTGTTGCATGAAGTCAACCAACTTCTGGCACCTGTGAACAGGTATTCCAGCCCAGGATGATTGGACTACATTCCACAGTTCTTCTCTATTTCTTGGTTTTGCCTCAGAAACTGCATTTTTGATGTCACCCCACAAGTTTTCTATTAGATTAAGATCCGTGGATTGAGCTGGCCACTCCATAACGTCAATCTTGTTGGTCTGGAACCAGATGTTGCACATTTACTGGTGTGTTTGTCTTGTTGGAACACCCATTTCAAGGGCATTTCCTCTTCAGCATAAGGCAGCATGACCTCTTCAAGTATTCTGATGCATTCAAACTGATCCATTATCCCTGGTATGCGATAAATAGGCCCAACACCGTAGTAGGAGAAACATCCCCATATCATGATGCTTGCGCAACCATGCTTCACTGTCTTCACAGTGTACTGTGGCTTGAATTCAGTGTTTTTGGGGGTCTTCTGACAAACTGTCTCTGGCCACTAGACCCAAAAAGAACAACCTTACTTTCATCAGTCCACAAAATGTTGCGCCATTTCTCTTTAGGCCAGTCAATGTGCTCTTTGGCAAATTGTAACCTCTTCAGCACACGTCTTTTTTTCAACAGTGGGACTTTGCGGGGGCTTCTTGCAGATAGCTTGGCTTCACATAGGCGTCTTCTAATTGTAACAGTACTCACAGGTAACTTTAGACCTTCTTTGATCTTCCTGGAGCTGATTGTTGGCTGAGTCCTTGCCATTTTGGCTATTCTTCTATCCATTCGAATGGTAGTTTTTCGCTTTCTTCCACGTCTTTCAGGTTTTGGTTGTCATTTTAAAGCATTTGCGATCATTTTAGCTGAACAGCCTATCATTTTCTGCACTTCTTTATATGTTTTCCCCTCTCCAATCACCTTTTTAATCAAGGTACGCTGTTCTTCTGAACAATGTCTGGAACGACCCATTTTCCTCCTCAGAATTTCAGAGAGAAATGCACTGTAACCAGCATGTACAACATTTGCTGCCTTCCTTCCTTAAATAAGGGCAATAATTGCCATCCTGTTTTTCAAAGAATGAATGACCTCACTAATAGAACTCCACACTGCTATTTTGAACATGCCCCTTTCAATTAGTGATTAAATTACACAGAATCAGCAGCATGCATGTCATGACTGTTGGGTCTGTTGGATTTCTATTACTCTACTACACCTGCTAATAAATTATTTGCCATGTAGAAATATTTCTACCAAAACCAGTGATTGATCAGGTTAGTGATGTCTGACTGCTATTAATTTGAACACAACTGTAACAGTATAATTGTCCTTCAATGTCCAAAAATAAATAAAAACAATGCCCCACGATCCTGACTGCCACTATACCTGGAGTGACACCACTGCTTGGCATAAATCCAGTTTACATTCTGTGATGATAAAGGCCATTTACACTCGTAATCAAGATAATGTGCTGAAACACATTCTTCTGAACTAAAACATTGTGTTCATTCTGGTAATAATGACATTAGATAAAATCACACACTATAAAAAAAATCAAGCATCCATTGACACTGGTTTACCACAATATAAAAAGGAAGTAAAAAGCAATTATAATGGTTTGAAATGAAAACGAACATTAGGCAAGAACAAGGCAGGATTGACAGAAATAGCAATTATACTCTATAATTATAGCTTTGTATTGCACGCAGATGTATCCCAAGACAAAAACACTGCAATTACTTTAAGATACAAAACACATTCTTGTGCACGAATGATAAAGACATTATTAGCTAGGTGAAAGGTATAAAATGAATTCTATGAATTAAGCAGAAAAGGCCAAGCTTACCTGAAAGTCCACAGCTCGCTTGGAAGCAAGATCGGCTTTGTTACCAGACAAAGCTATCACAATATTGGGACTTGCTTGTCTCTGAAGTTCTTTCACCCAGTTCTTCGCTCTTGCAAACGATTCCTGAAACATATTTAATTCACAAGTCTAGATTATGGTATGCTTCTGCATGGCAGCAAGGCTAAAATATAGTAATTTCCAGTATATTCAAACAGAATACAATTTAAAGCTGATCTTCACGCTGTACCCCCCCCATTTTTTTTAGACCTGGTTGCTAGTCCTGTACAGTTAAGGTATTCACCTGCCCAGCAGATCCAGCGCTGTCCTACGGAGATCCGCTTCTGTTCTGCCCCCACTCAGTCCTGTGCTGCCATCTCTTTTGTTGACGTCATCAGGAAGCTGCCAGTTCAGCCAGCAGCTCTCTAATGACATGCTTCTAGGCCCCACCCCCTCCCCCTTTCTCAGTGAAAGACTAAGCCTCTGGGGATATATGATGCACATATCCTAGGAGATTGAGGGGAAAATTAAAAAAAAAAAAAAAAAAAATCGCAAGTCATTCACCTAGGGCCTAGGCGAAGGGGGTCAAGGGATGGGGGGAGGGCCACAGCTTTAATTGAAGAAAAAAAAAAAGAGAAAAAAAAGCCTGATTTGTGCAGCGGAGAGGTGGATGGATGCCAACAAGCAATCAAGATCCGCTTTAAAATTCCTCTTAATCTACACACAACATCCACATAAAAGAATTCAGTGACCATTACCATGCCACATATCATATGTCAGAAATTCTGATTGGTCGTCTTACTTAAAAAGTGAACAGTAAAGAATTCGGAAAAATATAAAACACAAACCCCTGAGGATGCGCTGTCGCACAAAACGGCGTTGGATTGCTAGGCGTTATTGTTGGAGGTCGTGCAGCCATTCTGAGTGTCTGGCAGCCCCTTATGTAAGTGAATACACAGGGGTTCTTTGCTTTTTATTTGGCTATTTTATCTGTGTATAGATGCACTTTATTCAAACTACTACACTAAGAGATTTGTTGGTGGGTTTTGGAGGATGAAAGTGCATATTCTGACATCTGCTGGAGTGGGATAGGAGGACGATCGACTTTCCTGATACACTGAAGGATCACACCTTGGGAATTTATTATCATACAAGCGCTATTGCTGTTTTTTCTAAACAACACCACCTTCTGGTGAGTTTTTTCATTCTAGCCATTAGTGGAGGTGACACATCTGTTTCTGGATCACTGGGTGAAGATTTATTATACAGTGGACATTGGAACTATTCTATTCAGTTTATCACAGTCCACAATCATTGATTTGAAAACCATTGGACTTATGTATATTTTTTGTTTTATGTTAAATTTATTTTTTCGCACTTGATGGTATTTATGTATTGACATTATTCAATATTTTTGTGTTTAACGCTGCAACTTCTCTTTTTAGTATAGAATTCGGACCATAACCATTGTAAGGGGGAGGCTTTGCTGTTCCCACAACAGTCGTCTTATTATTAGTGGCGCAGAACTCCCAAGCATTCAAAATTCTTAAAAGATTCTAAAGCTGAACTCCAGGCAAATATAAGAAACAAATTAATTCTGCTCTGTATACATTAACCACTTGCCTACTGGGCATTTTCACCCCCTTCCAGCCAGGCCAATTTTCAGTGCTGTTGCAGTTTGAATGACAATTGTGCGGTCATGCAACTCTGCCAATTAATTTTTTTTTTTTTTTTTTTAGACAGATAGAGCTTTCTTTTGGTGGTATTTAATCACCTCTGGGTTTTACATTTTTTTTTTATATTTTGAACACAAAAAAAAAAAAACAACAAACAAAAAAAAAAAAAAAAACACAAACAAAACTTTGTTTAGGTTATAAAGTTTTTCAAATTTTTCTTTCACTGATGTGCGCTTATGAGGCTGCACTGATGGGCGCCGATAGGCTGCACTGATGTAGAGGCACTGATGGACACGGATTGGCACTGATGGGGCTGAAATGGTAAAAACAGGGCACTGTCAGCACTTAGGTAAGGAAATGCAGATAACACATTTTTTTTACATGTGATCAGCTGTGATTGGACACAGCTGATCACATGGTAAAGAGCCTTTACCCTAATTGGTGATGCGCTGTGTCTGAGCGACACAGCTCTCCACCGATCGGGGGCACGCATGAAAGGCAAGAATGGGAGGACATCATATGATGTGAAGGGTGATACTTCCACTGGAACATTTTTTTTTAACTTAATGCAGCAAATGCATGAAGGTAAAAAATGTTCTGCCTTTAGAAACAAGTTAAGTACATGAATTTAACTTGGCACCAGTGAGGATAGAGCAGAGTGATGACATCATTAGTCTGCCGCTGATCTTTCACTGTCCAGTCAGTAGGCTAGGGGGAGGAAGAGAAGACACTACTGTATTCCTAACTGTAAGTAGTGTTATTATCCACCTGGCTGTGACAGGACTGTGTAAATCTCAGGAATGGATGGACAGAAATACAAAAATTCTTCTAGCAGGTAAAACAGCTGCTGTATACTGTATGTATTTCGAACAGATACTGTATTTTAAACAAGTAATTCAGCTTTTTGAAAGAAGGAACAGTGATTGCAAAGATGAATAATAAATAGTAAAAATGTGAGTCACATGAAAATATAAATCCTACAAGAACTCCTCAAAATGAGTGCTTATTGAAATTATACTATGCGCATTCTAATTGTTCTGCAACTGAAACTACAAAGTAGGAGGTTAACAATGGAGCAAAAATGAGGGTCAAAACATTAGTTAATATGTCTAGCTCTAGAAATGATAAATTAATTAAGCAATGATTAGAACCAAAGTACACATGGCTACGTCAATAGCATTATTTTGAGTATTTAAAGAATCATTCTCATTCAAAGACTTTACAGAGAGGTCCTTTTCCATTACTTGAAAAGAACATGGCATAGGCGGGGGCAATTCGCTTTTAGGACAGTGTTTATATCTCAGCAAAGGTTTCTCAACTTTTACTTTTCTTAACCTACAATAAATGACTGTGCTGGAAAAACAGACACATTATGTCTGCAGGGACTTAAAAAGCAGCCAAGCATGAAAGCAGCACAGTGCTCAGTCATGGCTAACACTTGCATACAGTGACAATGAACAGGAATAACCTTCATTTAAATGTTTTTTTGACATGGAAGCTCATTGAATTTTCTCTCTCATTAAACATGGTTATTAAAAATATCTAATTAAATATAAAATTGGGGAGGTGCTTTTCAAAAAAAAAATCGCTGCATCATCTCTATAAAATGCACTATGCAAGACTTAGCTACACTCCTCTTCTCTTCCCACTGTCCAAGGCTGGCCACTCAGATGTAATGGTAAACCTTCTAAATATTTCCAAATTCTAAACAAGACAGAACTGACTCGTACCGCTGTAACCTTTAACCAATACCCAGACCAATTTTCAGCGCTGTCGCATTTTGAATGACAATTGCGCAATCAGGCAACACTGTACCCATATGAAATGTTTATAATTTTTTTTCACACAAATAGAGCTTTCTTTTGGTGATATTTAATCGCCACTGGGTGTTTTATTTTTTGCACTATAAACAAAAAAAAATACAAAAATAAAAAGCAAACAATTTGAAAAAAAAAAAAAAAAAAAACGTTTTTTTTTTTCCTTGTTTCTATTATAAAATTTTGCAAACAGGTAATTTTTCTCCTTCCTGATGTGCGTTGATGCATGATGCACTGAGAGGAGGCACTGATACTGCACTGCTGGGCACAGATCATCAGGGCAATGGTCAGTGCCGATCTGTTCTCTGACAATTGCTGGCTATCGGCAGTACTTTCCTCACGCTGCGACAATGTGAGCAAAGTGCAGCCAATAACCAGCAACTGTATTTACCCGGTGACCTGCTCTGTCATTGGACACAGCTGATCACGTGGTAAAAGGCTGCTGTGACTGGCCGTTTACTGCATCACATGATCCGCTGTGTCTGTAGGACACAGTGATCAACGGCGGTACACAGGGGGCGTGTTCTGGATGACGTCCATGGACGTCATCCCAGAACTAGACAACCATGCTGTAGCAGTCTTTCAGCTATAGCACGGTAGGGAAAAGGTTAAACAAAATGTCACATTTGTTATATGTTGCAGTCACTGGCTCAATTAGGCACAAAGTTTACCCTACTCTGAATTTAGCAGAATTTCAATGCAACCAAGAGAGACAAAATTTTTATAGGGGTGTCTCTCATGCGTCTCATCCTGTTCCTGCTGCTCTAGTTGAGGAAGGAGTCAAGAGAGATGAATCAATTGCTGATGAGGGACAGGAAAAGTAAGTAATACTTGGAGAATGACATCATCAAGCCTAGTGGGATTACAAGCTGCGAACACTTAGTACACACTTTACAATAGGCAGATAGAATGGTGCTTCCATATTATTAGGATGTCAGCAATAAGTGAGTTTTGGCAGTAAGATGGTCTGACCAAGTACAGTAATTGAATAAAAACCAGAAACCCTGGGCAGGTGGGCTATGCCCCTTGACTGCATTTTCAATTTAATCCACCTTTAAAGTACAACTAAAGAATTTAGAACACCTTTTTAGGTTTGTACTGAAATCTGTGCCCCCATTAGGGAGATTCACCCTCTATTTGTCCTGTTTACCATTATCATCAAAGTGAAAGTAAAGAAAACCCCAAATATTGAGCTGTCCCCAGAAAAGTAAGAGGGGCACTTTCCAATAGGGACCAAAGGGTTCCCAAGGAATGCCCCTAATTTGCGGGGATTTCCTCACTTCCTATTTTTTTGCCAGTGGGACCCACCAGATGGCAAAAAAATAAACTGACAAGTTTAATCATCCCATCTCACTCTATCAAAAATGAAAAAAAAAAAAAAAATGTTGCCTTTAGTTGTACTTTATGGTTCACCTATTACAAGACAAAATGGTGTTATTTTATTGTTGGCTACATTTCAAAAGTGCTGGTTGCCTAGGTTTTATAGCTCGTTTATCATATGAAAACTGGAAAGAAAGCAGCATTCCTAATTATGATTGATCTGGGTAACCCAAAAAGAATGAAAGTATAGGGAGATCAATTTTTTTTTGTTTGTTTTTGGCTTTGGATAGAGTAAGGAAAAAAAAGCAGAATCTGTCAGATTTTTATTTTTGTCTTTGCTGGGCTGATTCATGCTCACCATTGATCCTGATGACCACTGTCCACCAAATCCAAACTTTTTGAGTTGGTGACAACTAAGAAGATAGTTTCTTGTTTTGGACAGCTCACATCTAACTTTCTGCTTTGTCTTTGGAACAGAAAGTGATATCTCACAGAAGGAGCAATGATAAAAAAAAAAAAAAAAAAAAAACTGATGGGGTGGCATTACATAAACTTACATAAGTAGCATAGCCAAGATTTTATTTATTTTTTTGGTTCAGAATGAGATGGTGTAGGTTTCTCTAAGACCCCGTTCTGTCTTGAGTGTTTTTTTAGCTCGACGCTCAACAAGTAAAATTCCATTATTTCCAATGGCCCCTGTTCACACTTGAGTGTTCGGTCACCTGTAGCAAAACGCTGTCACTCAAAAAAGTACTTGTGCTACTTTTCATGCAGATCTGAGCGTTTTGTCCCCATAGCTTTGAATGGGAAAAGCATGAACAGTGGGAATGAGTGTTTTTTTCATCTCAAACAGCAGCTATGTCTATTGGCCACAGCAAAACCGCCGAAATGAAAAATGCCTTAAAAAACACGTTTGCAAATCTGCTCAAAGAACCGTTCAAAGATGCCGAGAAAAAAAAAACCCGAAACACTTGAAAAAGCGCCAGAAAAACACTCCGCTTCGTGAGAATGGAACCTAACAAGTTAATTTATTGTACAGAATCAGTCTTGGAAATAATGATGCATCTATGAACTTCTGAAGATTCTTAATTATATATACATATATATGCAAAAACAAGCCAAATATAAAAGTTGAATGATGAAAGACACAGTACCTCATTTGTGATGTCGTATACAACTATTGCAGCTTGTGCTCCTCTGTAGTACATTGGAGCTAGGCTGTGGTATCGTTCTTGACCAGCTGTGTCCCAGATTTCAAACTTTACTGTTGTATCATCAAGGCAGACAGTCTGGGTAAGAAATGCCGCTATCAAATAAGAGAGAAAAACATTTCATTTTTTTTTTTTTAAAAAAAACTCTAAAAACGTAAGAACTATGATGACAAATTAAAAAAAAAAAAAATTATCTGAAGCTTCAATCAAATGCATACACACCTTTTCAAGTTAATATGAGCCTAAGCATACACTTGGAAATGTAACATTATTATACTGGAAATGTTATATATTTATACTGGAATAAGAGAAGCACAAAATTATATTCCTAAATTAAAGGATAGGTTCACCTTTGGGAACATGTCACATGTTCCACCTATTTTTAGGGAGGAACATGTAACATGCTCCCACACCTGTAGCCGCTGTCTGCTCCACTGCACCTAGTGACAATTAGCGGGGGATCTTCTCCCTCTGCTAACTGTCACTATTTAAAGCAAAAGAAAAAAAAACATCACGGCCCTACAGGGCTCTGCCTTCCCAGCTAGGTCATTAACCTCCCTAGCGGTCTGATTATGTCCATATTTCTGTGCTCAAAGCAGTACATTTTTTTTGCATGGAAATATGTATTTTTTTTATTGTAGGCCTGTCATTTTTAGGAATAACTCACTGAAATCTGTCCGAGCAAGAGTCTAGTAAACATCCCGGGTATGTTACAATTTGAAACACAAAATCATAAATTATAATTTAATAAATATAATAAAATTAATACAATAATATAAATCACACCAAACACACTGAAATTTGAAATATAGCGCCAAGTTCGCACATCACTGAGCAAAGCCGCAAAATCGTTTTCAGTGTCTGACGACGAATTTCCGACACGAATCATTATCACTCAATTCTGCAAGTGGTTCTGATTTACCAACGCTGTTCTCTAGCTGGTCTAAAACCGCTTTTGACCTAAAGGGACGCTTTTTGAACGCCATGGATGTTTCTCAGTTTCCAGGCAGAAAGAACAGTAAAAATGTAGGCAGGGCACATGACAAAGCACTCGGGACAAAATGTATGCGAAATGGTTTGATACAGTAATGTTATACTATGTGATTTTAGTGTATTTAGTGAATGTCACTTTTTGTCATTTTCAAATCTCCCGCCGTTCCGTCCCCGTACGTCCCGACGCTCGCAGGGAACGGAACCCAGATGACAGATGCCGGCATCCGCCGGAGGACATTGCCGGGGACACTGCAGGAGGGACATCGCGGGAGCGCAGGACAAACTTTACCCCGAGCTACACTTGGGAATACTGCCAGGGAGGTTAATTAACCTCTAGCGCTGGCGCCTCCCAGCCCTTTAAGGGGTTTGTGACACTGGGAGGTGGGGTGGGGTTTAGGGTCATGTGACCGACGTGAAAGCGGTCACATGATCAGAACGCTGCCGACAGCAAGTGGCGCTCGGGACCTTTCTGTGAGGCACTGGTAAATGTGCTGGGAGCACGCAGGGCGTGTGCTCTTAGCATGTTTTGTTTACGCACATGTTTTGTTGGCGCCAAGGCCCAGCCGCCGAGAAGGCCGCATATTTGCGTATGCTCAGCGCCAAGGAGTTAAAGAGTTCTGTGGATGGGAATCTACAAGTACCGACAGCGAACTATCATGGCGCTGTTGAGCGCTCTGGTACTGTAGTTCATTGCCTCTGTCAGCGCGTATCTGCCTGCCAATACAAGGTACGAGCAGATATACACGGACAGGTCTGCAGTAGTCCTCCATGGCACTTGCGACATGCTGATCGTGGGTGCAATCCTTTACGGCTCCAAGTAAAAAAAATATTAAAAGCATTTTTTTTTTTCTGCAAAAAGATGTGCATGTATTATTTTTTTTTAAAAAAAGTCAACTTATCCTTTAATGTTACCAGGTTGACAATGCAGAGATTCTACAGTATGGATTTTGCATGCAAAAAGTGACCTTTTTAAAAAAGTTATTACATTTTCAAACATTTCATATATTCTCTAAGTTACAGTGCCTATGCAGTTTTTAAAAGTAAAAATATTTAACACATGACAAAAATGGATTCATGAAGCTCTATGGCTTATATAAAAAGGCAATCAGAGCTTGTGCTGCAGAACTTCAAAAAACAGGACATTAAAACTGCTTAACAGTCTACAGAAAATGTGAAAAAAAATATATTTTTGATTACAAATCTATATATTCACTAGTTATGAAATATTGCCAATTCACAAGTGAGCGATCCTAGCGAAAAGCTGCTGGCATTAGAAAAAAAGAAAGGCGCGACACACCAGCCTTTGAAAAGCAATAAATGAAAAAAACTTAGTGCAGCATTAAATTTAAACTAACACATTTAAAATGTATATATGCGAACCAATCCACATATCAATCAATATATCATATAGCACAATCCACAAATTATAAGTGATTAGATTAATACAATAAATAAAAAGGCCAATCAATATGGTGTGTATCAAATAACAAATGGTGTCCCAATAGTGCAAAAAGAAAGATGGCCAGATTCTTCTTCGCAGCAACACAAACAATGTGCACTCTTCCACCTGTATGCACTCACCAGAAAGTTAAATGGTAACTGCATAAAACAGTCACAGTGATCATTCCTGCGTCTCAACTCCTACTCATCAATTCCAAAGTCCTAAATGGAAAGAGCTCACACCACCGAGCCCACAGAGGTATAAAGTGTAGTAGGTTTGATTTAAAATGGAATAAAACAAAGCTAAATAACCACGTGGATACATCAAATAAAACTGTCCGATCTTACAGCAATGGATGCCGTTCCGAACACTGGACCGGGCGGCGTGACATCAGCACACAAGTTCTCAAAAGCTCTCAACACGTCCTCAGGGGATACGCCCCTGTTGTAATTGTTTACCTTGGCAAATCAACCCATAGAACCATGTTTGTCTGAATATTAGTAAGAGGAGGAAAATATGAAGAACAGAAAGAAGAAAAAAAAAAAGGGGGAGGAAAGAGGGATAAAGGAAGCAGAGCATGAAGCTAGGGAAAGGGTACAGAAATTGGAGCAGGGGAGCATCCAACATGCTCCCTAAGGTGATGCAACTCAGAAGCATTTAAAAGTTTACTTAAACAGCAATGTAACAGATTAGCGCTTTCGTGTGTATGCGTGAGAGATATGTAACCAGGAAGCCCAAGTCTTATTGTGGTGAGTAAGGCAAGCTACAGACAGTTCCTACAACCACGTGTCAGTGTTGATGGGGGAATCCCTCCCGCCGAGCCATTGTGGTCTCCCGGTGGCGGGGCGGGGGGAAATGGGGGGGGTTGTAGACATCCCTGGGAAAAGACAGTAATTATTGCTAGTGGCCGCAAGTACCCAAGTAAAACCCGTCAGACTTGGTTGTACCAAAGTTGATCAATCAACTTTGATGCATTCAGCCTGCCCATACATGGTTTGGGAAACTGACCGATACTCGAACAGTCGATGGCTAGCTTAACGCTATCCTGAGTAAAACGTATAATTTCTCCCATAATTGCCATTTTGTTAATGTGGGGAAACCATTCCACAAATTGTAGGTGGCTGTGATTTCCTCCAGTAAAACCGGGACACACAGTCTGGCCCTGCACACAATATGCATTGCTGGGGATTTCAAATATTAACTGCCTCCCGCCCACCATATAAGGAAATGACGGGCGCAAGGTGTTTCTCTTGTTCTGGGAGGACATCATATGACGTCCTTCCACTCTAACCGCACATGCGGACACAGCGCATCACTGATCAATGGAAAGAGCCGAAGATGTTGGCTCAGTCATGTGATCAGCTGTTTCCAATCACAGCTGATCGCATGTAAATAGGGAAATGCCAGTTATCAGCATTTCTCTCCTCACGAGCTGTCACGCTGAACAGTGTGCTCTGATGATCAGTGTATCCCCAGCAGTGCCACCTATCTGTGTCCATCAATGCCACCTGCCAGTGCCCATCAGTGCCACATCAATGGCTACCAGTGCACATTAATGCCACATATTAGTACCCATCTGAGCTGTCTGTCAGTGCCCCCTTATCAGTGCTGCCTGTCAGTGCCCCCTTATCAGTGCTGCCTGCCAGTGCCCCCTAGTGCCTCCTCATCAGTGACCATCTCTGCATACTCAGTGCACATCAGTGGAGAAAAATCACTTATTTACAAAATTTTATAACAAAAAAAAAAAACTTTTTTTCAAAATTTTCAGTTTTTGGTTTGTTTAGCAAAAAATAAAAAAAAAACCCAAAAAGGTCATTAAATACCACAAAAAGAAAGCTCTGTCTCAAAAAACGATAAAAATTTCACATGGTTGCATGACCACGCAATTGTCAAAGTGTTACAGTGCTGAAAGCTGAAAATTGGCCTGGACAGGAAGGGGGTATAAGTGCCCAGTAGGCAAGTGGTTAATGTTTAGACCAGTGTTTCTCAACTCCAGTCCTCATGGACCCCCAAACAGGTCATGTTTTCAGGATTTCCATTATTTTGCACAGGTGATTTGATCAGTTTCACTGCCTTAGTAATTACGACAGCTGTTTCATCTGAGGGAAATCCTGAAAACATGACCTGTTGGGGGTCCATGAGGACTGGAGTTGAGAAACACTGGTTTAGACAGACTGGTATGGCGTAGCAAGTACTGGGCAGGTGTAAAATATGATCAGCAGCCCATAACAGACAAAATTATGTGATGAACCTCTCCCCAAAATGGGCTTAAAGAGAGGAACCTCCACCAAACAGGAATCAGGGTTCCCACATTTGCACTGCAGCAATAGCATTTATCAGTAACTGCAAGACAGTATGTATTGCAGACTGCATTAAAACCGTTCTCTTGCACATTTGATGTTCAAGGAGCTTTTGTGTGTCATCATGTGGATTGAGTCCCAAATCTCATTTCCATTGGAAGCCAAGTTTCAAAATAAGAGAGTTGAAAGAAATCATGTGTTTTTGGGGAGTACATGACATCCATACTGGTTCGAAGGGGGATGAGGTTTCTGGTTTAACAAGGTCTCCATTTTTTTTTTCTTGCAATCCCTGATGGTAAAAATAAAGAACATATACTAAACCAGTACACATTTCCTTAAAACCCCCCCCCCCCAAAAAAAA